CGCTATGTTGATAGGAGAGCTTCTCCCGTAGACGTAGCTTGGGGAGGTGGATTAACTATGGCAAGGGAAGAACATCTTCAATTAAGTACTACAGCTGCGCAGCTGCACCAATGCAGCGTTTTCAGTGTGGACCTGCCCTGACACTTTATAGGGTTCTAAAGTAACTGTCAACTCAACCGCTGTATATGAAGACCTCTGCTCATTGTGCAGCTGTGGTCAAAAAGCAAACAAGATGTTGGGATGCATGAGGAATGGGGTGGTGAATAATAGAGAATATTATAATACCTTTATATAAATCAGTGATACAGCCTCATCGCGTATGCTATGGGCAGTACTGGGCTCCTATTTCAAAAAGGATAGTCTAGAAGTAGGAGGATTTAGAGAACGGTGATGAGAATGATCAAAGGCCTGGAAAAATCTTTTATATGAAGAGACTGGGATTGCTCATCTTACAAAGGAGGCAAATAAGGGGAACATCATAAAAGTGTGTAAAATGATACAGAAAAAGTAGATCAGGAGTTCGTTCTCCCTGTCTCATAGCCCAAGAATAAGGTGATTTTCAATAAAATGTAAAGTGGGAAATTCAAAACCAGTAAAAGGAAATATTTGGTTACTTACCATGTAATTAAACTGTGGAACTCATGGCTTCAGGAAGTTGATGCAAATAATTTTAAGGGGGCGGGAGAAAGGGATTGAACATGTATATGGATATCAAGAATATCCAGAGGTGTCAAACGTTTTGTGGAAGAGATATTAACCTCATCGTTCAGGGTTTAAGCCAGTCTGTAACTATTAGAGATCAGGATGAGAGCTAATGGGTTGGGGCAAATTATCCCATGTCTGCCTACTGCCAGGTTCTTTGACCTTTCTCTTGAAGCATCTGGTGCTGGTCACAGTAGGAGACAGGATATTGGACTAAATGGACCATGTGTCTGATCAAATTCCTATTTAATTCCTGTAGAAAAGGAAGAAAGCTGCAAATCCACTCAGAACTAACCCATGTAATAATTCTAAAGTGTTACCAATTAAGCCTGCTATTGTCTCACACTGATCCATCTTGCAGTGTTCTCTGTCCTCCCCTGAATCCGGCCAGTAAGTCATACTTTCCCTATCTGGTTGAGTACAGGTTGTCCAGGGAATTTGAGGCAGATCTAGTATCGCAATGTATGTTCTCCTTTTGTACAGAATTCTTATCTTCACCACAAAGCATTGACATAGGACTACTTTGACACTCTGTCCTGATGCCTTCTGTGTTGGAGGACTATTGGGATTGTGTGTGTATACTCGAAGATCAAACCCTTTTTTCTGGCCTCAAAATCTGAAAAATGCAATATTGTGGCTTTTTAGCGCTTCCTTCTGGTTTATCAGACTTCAAATGGTGACTCATGGTGTGCCTTGTGTCTCGATTTAACACTTTAAATGGGGTTTTCAAACATTCAGTAGAAAATAACAAGCAGGCTTCTTGCTAATACTTTTCTCAACTGGCATATTTTAGATGGGAGAAATCTCACTTGCATTATCTCCTGGCTTTGTCCCATCTGTATTAATTAGATGGCACAAGGAATTGAGTTCACTGTATTTGAGGCCAGTTAAAAATAGTGAATTTGCTGATACCTCCAGCTATTTGTAATCTTCATACTCTGCTCCCGACAATTTAGGCAACAAATAATGGCAGCACTGAACTCCCAGACTGCTGTTCAGTTCCAGCAATATGCAGCCCAGCAGTATCCAGGCAACTATGAACAGCAGCAGATCCTAATTCGCCAGCTTCAAGAACAGCACTATCAACAGTACATGCAGCAGTTGTATCAAGTCCAGCTTGCACAGCAACAGGTATAGTAGAACATTTGACATGGACAGGGTCATTGGTATCCCTGATCCAACCTTTCTACCAGAGGTGCTAATGCACTTTTGTTATCCTAGGTCAAAGAGGTAGTGACTCTTAAAGTTTAAAAAGTGGCGATTGGTTGGCTGACACTGTATCCGATTCAAATACCCGAGCTTCTTTGTTAATCTCTTCCTGTAGTTTTCTAAAACAGCCATTGACTAAGAATATTCTAAGTAGACAGTTTAACCTTTGACTTGTCTGAAGTGCCTTTGCCAATCACTTAATTCTTGTTAGAGTTCTTGGAGGTCAAATGTTAAGCACTGCGCAATAATGTGTGTACTTCAATAGTTTAATGTGCCCATATCAATGTTATCCTGGCTCAGATGGCAACAAATATACATTAAAATGCCGAAATTCTGGAAATATAAGACATGAGTTCAGACCCGTTCATGGGAAAGTCTTTTAAGGAATTAGAAGTCACATCACATCTCTGTTGCTAGCCATCCCTTGTTTTTCTTTGCTTTTCATAAAGGCTGGTACCATATAAATCTGATCCCTTGATGAGCATAAATATAAATACATCTGCTCTTCCCACCAATTCTATAATTGGTTGGGTTTCCAATTTTTCTTCAGGAATAAACCTTCCTTGCTAAATCCAAAAGACTTCCCCACTGGCTAATTCCAAACGTAACTATAAATTCTTTGAATTATTACATGGTACAATTCTCCTTCTCTTTGGGTGAATTAAATCATTTGCAAAGGGTCCACACACAATCTATGTACCAATTATGTCCCATTGAGACCTTTTTTGAAGCTGGTAAACTGCTTAGCCTTTGTTCTGTGTGCAAAGCATCCTCAGTCTGTGCCTTGCAATGCCATTTTTCTGGCTTGCTTTTCCATAGCTGCTCTCTGCTTTAGTTCTGTGGGCTTCTTTTGCCCTTAGTCTCAAATTCACACAGATTTGATATTGTAAACCCACAAACTGGCAGGGGATTTAATATAGCCCTCAAGTACTTCTGCTTTTAAAAAGTTGACTAGATTTCAAGATAGACCCTTTCAACCGGCTAAATATTAAAGGCCTGTAAATGTGATAAATTCTGTGCATGCCTTTTCTAAAAACAAATTTTTTTGTGAGCAGAATTACTATAGTGATTACTAAAAAGAACGAGGAGTACTTGTGGCACCTTAGAAACTAACAAATTTATTTGAGCACAAGCTTTCGTGGACTAAAGCCCACTTCATCATTTCTCCAATTAGGTGTGAAAACAAATTACCACTAGCTGCCCCCAGTCAATTTGAAAATGGTCAACGTTTTCAAATGAAATCCTTTTTCAGCATCTGGATCCCAATGGCCTGACTTCAAAATGCCTGACTCCATGTAAATCACTGATTGCAATGGAAGCTGTGTACGGTCGGCACACCTGAAAATCAGGCCACTTGATTTAGATGCTTAACTTTAGGTCTCCAGATTGGAAAAATGTTGGCCTATATTCTGAAATGTTAATCGGTTAAGATGTTTTGATAGTGAAGGAAGAAATCCCAAACTACTTCCTTGTTTTTACTGAGCTTAGTTTCTCTAACTGTAGGCAGCCTTACAAAACCAGCAGGATGCGGCAGCAGCAGCAGGGGCTTCTATGACTACTATGCCAAAGGTGAATGCAGCTGCCCCAGGAGAAAGTCCATCTATTAACGGACAGGCCAATGCTCCTACAGACAGCCCTGAAAAAGAGCTGGAGGCAGATGCTCTGGAAGAAGCACTAGAGAATGGACCAAAAGGTATGACTAAAACTAGATTCTTTAATTTAAACAAGAAACCAGAGACTTTTGTTAGAGCCTAGTTCTTTGAGTGTTGGTCCCTATGTGTATTCCCCTGTGGGTACACGTGTGCTACATGCACCTGGAGTTGGAGAATTCCTGCAAGCAGCATCCATTGGTCTGCGCATGCACCCTTGCTCTCCTCATGCCTCAAACTTCCCATATATCCCATTACAGGTATTGGACTATTCCCAGAACTCTGGGCTTCAAACACTATTTCCTGCCCACATTCTCTCTGTCACTGATGGCCATCATGCTGCCTTCACTGCCTTGGCGAGGCACGCATCGTGGCTAGGTGCAATATCTGCCTCTCTCTATCTGTACATGTGAGGCGTAGGAGCTCTGCTTAGAAAGCACCTCACGGAGAAGACCACGAGGCCACAATGCCTCCCACAATGAGTTCTGATGCTGGTGTGAGGGAATCCATACCCACAGACCCTAGTCAGCAGGCAGGAAATGCCTAAGAGCAGGTCTTCCTCTAACTGTGCTTCAGATGACCAATGCATCTCTGCTTAAATTGAGCAAGTCTGCTTATTCAGCCTGTAAGGACTTAGATCATCCTGAGGTCCCAAGATCATGACACTAGAGCCCTGGTTCTATGGGCTTTTTCAGTACCAGACCCCATACCAGTGACACCAATTTCACTGGTACTGTCCAAGCTAAAACATCTACGGGGGGAATTGGGCCAAAACCTAAAAATTATGTGCCAAAAAAAACTATGCACACAGTATTTTAATATTCTGCATATTTTATTTGTCAAACACAATATAATCACACCAGTTTCAATTATTTTGGTAATTTATTTCAATATACCTGTCAGCAAGTATGTCTGTAATAATACAGACAACGAAAAAGATTCAGGAAATGTTTAACAAATAGATTCCTTTCTAGGCATATTAATACAGAGCTCTGAGTAATAATTCATTTAACTACAATACAGAACTGTATTTCCTGCACCCCTCAGAAGCAGTGCAAAGGCTTTGGGGAGTCAGGGGTAATAGAGGAACTGAGGGAGAGGGAAGTAATTGCTGGGAAGGAGCCTGGGTGTGAACTTGGAGGGTTGTTTGGTATGGGTGGGAAAAGTATGGAACAGGTTTGGGTTTTTTTTTAGGGAGGAGGGGGAAGAGGGATTGTTAGGGAGCTTCCCCCATGCAGACCCTGTCTGACCCCTAGCCTCTCCCATTCAGTCAGGCATATCTGTCCCTGTCCCCCATGCGTCACTGTGCCCCCACTCCAGGCACCTCCCTGCCCCAGTCTATCGTCCCTCATTAACCCTTGTCTGGCCCCCCAGCAGCCCCACACTGTCTCCCCATATTCCCTGTCTCCTGGCCTGGCCCAACAGGCGCTATGAAGAAGGCAGGCTTTCTCTTCCCTAGCCGGCTGTTCTAGCGCCACAGCGCCTCTGGTGGGCAAAAGGTGGAATGGCAGCAACTTTCCAGCAGAAGCTTATTTTCTGCATAAATAAATAAATGAATTATAAGTAGCACATGAATTATGCACATGCGTAGTGGTGCAGAATTCCCCGAGGAGTAAACATCAGGATACATCAATTCCAGCAAGGAACACCTGACCAGAGCCTCAACCACTGATGGTACCTTCCTGTCTATGGGCCTCCAATCCCGTTAGCACCAGCGGATCAGACCCTTCACACCCAGGGAGGGGGCAGAGACTTATACTACATCAGAATATGTTTTTTGCTCTTCCCACGCCTCAATTTCCCCTATCATCTGGACCTTCTCTCACTAGGGAGATTTTAATTCTACAAGGGGATGTTGGCTATGGCAGAAGTCTGTCCCCTCTTCCATCTATCAATCTGGCTTTTCCTCCATTACAACTGTTAGTATCACTGATGAATCCGTACCCAAATTTCTCTTCCTTGGGAGTATCTGAAACCCCCAGAGGAACCATCACCTCCCCCAAGGAAATCTAGCTCAGGCAAAAAATCCAGAGCTTCCTGGTACCAACCTCCACCTCGGCATTTACCTCTGGACTGGTGGTACCCCATGCATTGAGGACCTCTGCAACCCCTTCCTGACCCAGTTTATTGGTCAAACTGGGGAATATGGGACCCAGATGCAGAGCCTGTTTGTCCTGTTAGGCAGTCACTCCACCATTCCCCTCCAAGGGAACATTTAGAGCTTCCTTGTGACCCTATGGAAGAGGAAGATTATGATCTGATTTAATCGGTTCTGCTGGTAATGACAAGATTGTCATCTTCATCTCCTGATGTAGTCATTCCAGTGTCTCCATCCCTTCCAGATGATCAGAAACAGTTTCAAGAATGATTGTGCAGAATGACAAAGGAATTCCTGATCATCTTAGGAGAGGACCAGATCCCTCAAACTCTTGGATATACTGCAAACTACTGGATCTGGTCAAATAGCACTTCTAGTTAATGAACCTGTTAAGCAATCTGGCATGTACCAGCCACATGCACCCCACCCCTACAAAGGCAGAGGAACAATATTTCATTCCAGCCAATGGAGCCAAATTTCTTTTTACCAATCGCATACCTAACTCTGGTCATCAGGCTGCCGTCGAGAATCTAGATGACAATATTCAAAATCCTTCTGACAAGAAGGCTAAACGTCTAGGCTTGTTGGGAAGAAAGGTATTCCCATCCACTAGCCTTCAGTTCAGAATAGTGAAATATCAAGCACTGTTGGTTAAGTATGACTATCTGAACTATTCCAAGTTTACAGACTTTGTGGACGAACTGCCATAGCAAGACAGAGCTTAGTTTCAAGCACTTATTGAAAAAGATATGCTGGTGGCCAGAACCACACATCTATCAGTGGTTGATGCCACAGACACATTATCAAGGTCGATGTTAACAGCCATTATAATGTGCTAGACAGCTTAGGATTTTCCAGGGAGGTGCAAAACGCTGTAGAGGACTTGCCTTTCAACTAAGCCCATTTTTTCAATGAGAAGACAAATAAGTCCTTACTCTGAAGGACTCCAGAGCCACCCTTCACTCCCTGGGAATCTGTACTGTCATGCTGTCTGGAGTGACTCACGAACGTGAGTGCCAACCTCAGGGCAGACACTTCAACTGGTGGTATGTTCTATAATTAGATTTGTCAACCCAGTACCAAATGTGAATTCCCAAAGTACTACAATAGTCTTACAACAGTCACACAGTCCCATTAGACGCTATCTCGCCACCCAGGCAAGCTGGACTATGTGATAAGTGATCACACCAAAAATCACAGAACCTTCAGGTTACATCTAGTCCCAAGAGACCAGTCATTCACCCAAGTTGATTTGCATACCAGCTCTCACACCAAAGACGACAACTGGTATATCCAGTTCTAAAGTAAACTAACTAAGGAAGGAATGAAAGTAAGAAAAAGGAATGAGTGTTATTGAAAGGTTAAAGCAGGTAAAAAATACATATACAGGTGAGAGAGTTTACTACGTCTCTGCTACTTTTTGGAATTAGAAACTGCCAGCTTCCCGTAAGCCTTTTAGGGCTACCCAGAGTAACTTTGGGGAATTCCGTCTTCTCATTTCTTTATTCTGCCCTGCTAGAATCCAAACAGTCCAGAGATGAAGAATTCTTCCTTGTGTCCATATGTATAGCTTCTTCTCTCAGAAACCCAGCTGACAGCAACAGTTGTTACACAGGTCCCTTCTTCATGAGAGGTGGGAGGAAGAATGCATTTAGTCGTTGATCCTTGATCTAGCACAATGGCTCACTGGCACTTAATGAACAGGATTTAACATCTTTGTAAGAGACCATTTGCATTACACAAGGCTTCTTTCTTGTTTGATGGGTTACTTAGTTACAGGGCTATAATACAATGCAAATATTTGCTGTTATAGTATAACATAGGGTATCGTTGAGTGAGAACAATACATGCAGTATCCTATAAGCATTTTATAAAATATTAAACACATTCTTATCAACTTACCATCCAATATTTATTTTGATAATGCTAACACACAGGTAAGCAAGACCGGTTTCCAACTATGGATTTAAGTGTTCAGTGAGGCCTTGTCATGAGCTGGCAGTTGGTCTGCCAGGGTCATATATACACCTGCCCCAAAGAGAAAATATCACAGGCAGCCCTGTAAATCTAGACCAGTGACTTAACAGATTTATCCGCGATCTTATGATACTCCTCATAAGAGCCAGAAGATGCAGAAGTCTCATTCATTTCCCTGTACCTCCCATATCTTCAGTACCATCTCAATCCCATCCCCTGGCTAAAAGATATTTTGGATGTCCATTTAAGAACTGCAAACTCAATGATGCCACCACCAACCAATGCCCACATGTCCTTCAGGAGTTGTTTGGCAGTTTTTCAACAACTGGAGTGCAGTAACAATGGATACATCATCCAGTCTGGCTAAGCAATCAAGTTTACTGTTCTGCTTCCTCTGAAACCGCCTCTTCAGGGATCATTCTCACAAGAGTATTCTCAGGCAGAAAGTGGAGTCCCTTCTCCAACAAGAAGCAATAGAGTAGGTAGCTCTCCAACACTAGGGAAAAGGCTTTTTACTCAGTGTACTTCCTTGTATCCAAAAAGAGAGGGTGATTGGAGACCCTTTCTTGATCTTTACAGTCTCCACCACTTTTTTCATAAACTGAAATTTCACATGGTCACATTGGCATCAATAATCTCATTCCTGGAAAAGGACATTTGGTTTACAGCTCTTGATGTGAAGGACACATACTTTATGTGGATGTTCACCCCACCCACAGGCAGTTTCTCAGATTTGTGGTGGGTCCCAACCATTTCCAATATAGGGTGCTCCTATTCAGCCTTGCCTGTACCCCAGGGTCTTTACCAAAGTCTTCCTGGTAGTTGCATTTCACTTCATCTGGAATGGCCTCACTGTCTTCCCTTACCTCAATTATTTGCTTCTCGTTGTGAGGACACAAGAGGCCTCATTAATGCTCCAGCACCTATCCTCTTTAGGAGTGAGTGTAAACTTGGAAAAATCTATCCTCCCTCTGACATACACCATAGACTTTATAGGGGCGACCCTGGATTCAGTCATGGCAAGAGTTTATCTACCAATGGATAGGTTTTGCTCCATGAGTGACCTGATAGACCAGGTTATGCGAAACTCTTGAGCACCACTCAAAACTTGTATTTCCCTCCTGGGGCACATGGCTTCATGCACTTGTTATCCCATTCACCAGACTCTTCTTACATTGCCTACAGGCATGACTCCAAACAGCATGTTCAACCAAACACAACACAAATATCTTAGTGACAATTCCTTCCAGAATACTGTTCAGCCAAGGGGGAAGTGTTTTCCCATATGGATACAGATGAAACACATATCTGAGTCAGCAGATATTCCCCTTATTTTGAGCTATCGTCTCACTCAAAACTGGGCTCTTGCTCAGTCCTATAAGAGTCTACCTGGCAGCATTCAGTGCATGCCATCCACCCTCAATGGTTACTCAGTGTTCACTCACCCATTGACTAACAGATTCTTGAAAGGCCCAATCAGAACCTTTTCACCAGTAAGGAAGCCTACCCTTCACTGGGACTTGAACCTTGTTTTCGGCACTCTGAAACCACTAGGAACACCCTTCAAACCACTAGGAACATGTTCCATCTATCACCTATCAATACAAATTGTGTTCCTTTTGGCCATCACCTCAGCCAGAAGGGTGGGGGAACTCAGAGCTCAAAGAACTCCCAGTTCTATACGGTAAGTAACTTATCTGTTGCTTTTTTCTCTCTCTGGTATTGTGGTTGTGGCTCTGTAGTTAGCACTCCCGACTACCATGTCAGAGCTAGATTTGGTTCTTTGGCCCACTCTCTCCCTTACCCAATCCCTTCTGCTTTGGGAATAAAGGCAGTGTGCTCAGTTCCTATGAAAAAAGATGAATATTCAGCCACTCCAGTACCTAAACTAGGAGAGGGCTGGATGGGTTCCAAAGAGCCTCATCCAGTTCTCTTCGGCTGAAGATAACTGTCACACAAGACCATAGCGGGAAGGAACCTAAGGTAGAAGTTCTGTTGCAGAGCTTCTCTCTGTATAGGATAGATTGCACAAGTGGGTCTCAAGGGAGAGGGGGCCTGTTGGTTGAATGTGCCGGGGGGCATATTCTCATGGACACTAGGACCAAGTGTCTAAAGGGAGTAATTCTAAAGGAGTAACTTGTTCTCTCCTTTCCGCCTGCCGCTGCTGCTCTCTGCATGATCCAGATCCATCCTCCTTCCAACCAACCAGACTGCAGCTCCTCGCTGTTCCCTTGGCTCACAGGGACAGCCCTGTTGTAAGAGTCTGTGGCGCTGGAGGAGGAAAATCAATCCACTACCAGCTTCCCTCCCCCACGCCCCAGTTCTGTCTGTCACTATTCCTGGCCTCATCAGTGGCACTTGCCCACCTTCATCCAAAATCCTTGTAAGATTTGGGCAGGCCCTAGCAAGAAACTGGGGGGGGGGGTTGGGTCCTATGTGAAAAAAGTGGAGCAGTTCTACTGAGCACATATCAAATAAAACAGCTTGTGTGTTTAGGAGTTACATTTCAAGGATTTGTTTAAAGGGTTTAAGTAGCCTGTGTAGCTGTCATAGAAGCAGTGCCTTTGACTGAAGTAGTAACCCATATTGCTCTGCATTGAAGTGATGTCTTAGGAATGAAATTTTGCCTAAATAAAGATAGATAATATTGTCAGTCAGCTTAGATGTGCAAGCAGTTGCAAATCAAATGAAACGCTCAGCCAGACTTAGTTCTAAGGGGCAGATTTGTAATATGTACAGTGTTACAATGCAGGCTTCACGATGTATTGCATGTGAGTTTGCTAGGCCTCTGTTAAAAGGGCATTGTCTTGTAGTAGCGTGAAAGCTGAATTTAAGAAGCAGCCTGGAGACTTGTCCTGCAGAGGCTGCGTGGTGCCATGTCTTACAGAAGTGACATGTTATTACATAACATTAAAATAGCTGTATTTTTAGAGGCAAGTCATTCATCTTCCATGCTTTTTCCCTCCTTTTTAGAATCTGTTCCAGTGATAGCAGCTCCATCCATGTGGACACGACCCCAGATAAAAGACTTCAAAGAGAAGATCCGACAGGATGCAGATTCTGTGATCACAGTAGGCCGAGGAGAAGTGGTTACAGTCAGAGTACCGACTCACGAAGAGGGGTCGTATCTCTTCTGGGAGTTTGCTACAGACAATTATGACATTGGTTTTGGGGTATATTTTGAATGGACAGACTCCCCTAACACTGCAGTCAGTGTGCATGTCAGCGAATCCAGTGATGATGAGGATGAAGAGGAAGGTATATTTGCTTATTTTATATACGCTTCTAATGGTGTCCGTTGGCTATACTCTAATGTAAGGGGGTCTCTCTTTTTTTGTGCGCCCGCTCTGCACAGCTGATGTCCCTCTAAAAATGAAATCTGTCCCTTCCAAATCTTAGTTAATAATTGTTTCAAGTGCCACATCTGCCTGGGGCCAGGCTAAGGCAGTCATAACCCTAGTTGCATCCACATGTGTTGGTCCCCACAACCCCTTGGCAGGGGTCACCCATATGGCTTAGGGAGGAGTCACTATTACTCCTCCTTCTGGCAAGATAGAGCCTCCCTCCTGTCCAGACCACTGCTCCTGAAGCAGGCTGGGGAAATTCCCAGAGGAGAGAGAAGTGTTCTTACCCACCCAAGCAAAGAGGTCCTGCCACCAACACCCCAACAGAGCTGCAATGGGGGCTGACAGCAAGGGTACCACACAATGCTCAGTGTGTAGAGGGTCTTCCCAGAGCAGTAGGGCTTTGAAAGTTAACACCCCATTGGAATAAATGAGGAGGTTAACACCTCTTTAGAACCATTTCTTCAGGCTGTCTGCAGACACCACTGCCGTGGTTACGCTTGGCTTACATTTCAAGCTGCTATTTTGCAACCATGAGGTCTGAAATACAACTTTTTAAAGTGAAAACTTCAATTCTGGCGATTGTTTGACTTCAGGAGCCATGGCTCTGGGCGTGTCTCTCTGTTGTGCTTATGCCTTGGTCCTGTTGCCAGTTTTTATGGTTCTATTTTACTATCTTGTCCTCTTCTCTTTTGGTGTGAAAGACACACCAAGGGAAACAAAGGTTGCTGCTGTTTCAATGCTCAACTGATAAGCTGATTTTTTTTTCTAATGATGATTAATGATTTCTCTAATCTGGGGGCTGTAACAATAGCACTTCAGAGAGAAGTGATTTAAAAAAAAGTTCCTTAAACACTGAAGTGGTGCTCATGTAGTGGTGCTCATGTAGACTGTGGGAGTTGATGTGCTATGCTCCATCTTGAACAAGGTGCTCAAACATTGCATGCTGGGGTGGAAGGATGATCTTGGTCTTGTGATCAAGGCAAAGGGGAGAGGCCTGGATTCTGTTTCTCATCCTGATACTTTGTCACCTTGAGCAAGTCACTTAACCACTCTCTTGACTTCCTATTCTGTAAAACATATTGTCCTGGATATGGGTATTGAGAGGCAAAATCATTTCTGCACTGAGAGTTCCTTGATAGAAGGGGCTGTAAAGTGCAAAGACTGTAGTGTTGGGCTGATACTGGGACCTGTGGGGCTGCATCTGCACATTGAAGGTTAAAGGGAAATCTTTGTTTTAGGACATGACCTTTAGGCTGTTGAATTTCCTAATATATGACTATGTGGTAGGCAAATCTGGACATCCCTGCTTCTGCTAGATACTAACCCTAACACTTGGTGCTAGGTAGGATACTAAGATAAGCCACTGCTAAGTGAAACTCTCCTTCATGGAACTTAAAACAAAAAAATCTTAAACCCAAAAGGTCACAATGCCAAGTGTCAATTTGAGAAGTAACTACACAGTATGGTGAAAGCATTCTTTGTAATTGATCTTTGGACATTGCTAAAGCTGATGGTTTCCTGCCTTTCCCTATTGGCATTGTGGGCCTTAATGTGCAGTGATTTGAAACCTAGAAAAGGAGCGTTTTGTACATAAAATGTTCACATAGAAATGGAGGTTGGGTAGAGAGGCCCCTTTGAAAACTTCATCTGTAGATGATATGGCATGATTAAAACAGGTGATAGTGCAAGTGAGTTAAAGTAGCCTGATATGAGGGAGAATGAGAAATACCACTCTTAAAAGTCAGAGATGGAAAAGACTTACTAGGTTGTCTTTCATTCTCCTGTCTCTGATGTATGAGTATTCTTTACTGTCTAGTCTCCAGTGCTTTGTCCAGTATCAGATGACTCAAGCAATGAAATGCCCACTTCCACTATTCTATATGTTGGACCAAAACTCAAGCCATGGTGGTGAAAGTCTCCATATACCTTTAATACTCCCCTAAAGGATACAATTCCTGCTCTGCTGACATATTTTCCAGGAAGGAAATTAACCTCAATATCCTCTCTTCCAAGGCCTGACGTTGCAATGACCCAGATGGCCAAAGGCTTGGACCCAGGTCCTTTCCTTCAGCCACCGGGGAGTCTGGCATGCCATTGCTGGAGCTTGTGACCTAGCCATCTGTCCTCTGCCACTGAACTGCTAGGCCACCTTTGGGTGTGCTGTATCCTGCCTGCAAAAATTGTGCACAGGGATTTGCTTGCAGGCGCACAACTGCTCTGCATAGACAAGTGAACAAAATGACCTGTGAATACTTTACTTTACAACTGAGTGAACCACATCTGGAAATGCCTCAGGCTATGACCTTAATTCATCCAGCTGTGGTCTAGTCATTAGGCTAGGCCACCCCAATTAATAGGCTGTCCTTCAGCTCGCATGAATAACAGTAGGTCAGGAGTTCAACAGTTAGCTCAGCTAACCTTTATTTTATTGTGCCAACAGTTCTTGAGTCTTTTCATTATGTTCTATTAACTCTGGTCTTGAGCAAAAGCAGCTCTCAAGAAAGGAGTCTGAAATAGCTGGGCTTTGAGATCCTCTGACAAGAAGCTGTAAAACTGCTCATGGTTCAACTCCGAGACGCTGAGCACCAGTTGCTTTCATTGACTTTAATGGAAGCTGTAGTGGCTCAAGGAAATCAGGCCCTGGATCTGTTTATCATTTAACATTAGTGTATTCATAAAGTGCATGATTGATGAAGAAACCCGTGATCAGACTGAACTAAAAGCTGGTTTTCACCTTCTTAGTAAATGTAATGTCACAACAAAGTACCACTCGTTCATTTTTGTAAAATGGATAAAGAGACTAATTTCCATGCTTCATTTTAGAAATCTTACCTCAAATCTTCCTCATGAATGCTTAGTCCCTCTGTCTCCCTCCTCCCACCTAAAAAAAAAAAGTAAGTTCCCAAATAGTTAAAACATACCTCTTATTTTGTTACTGAAATAACTTTGATTTGTGTCTTCCTGGTCCCTGTTGGACTAGCAAAACAATAAACAAGCCAAGATTTTTTTTATTCTTTATTTGCATAAAGTATATTTAATGACTGATCTTTATTTTTTTCCACTACAGAAAACAGTGAAGAGAAAGCCAAAAAGAATGCCAGCAAGCCTCAGCTAGATGAAATAGTGCCTGTATACAGACGAGACTGTCACGAAGAAGTGTACGCTGGCAGCCACCAGTACCCAGGGAGAGGAGTTTATCTCCTTAAATTTGACAACTCCTACTCATTATGGAGATCAAAAACAGTTTACTACAGAGTTTATTATACTAGATAAAGATGTTGCAGTGTCGGAGGCTGGGGCTGTGCAGAAGACATCATTTTATTCGGAATTTTCTTCAAACATAATGGATCTTTTGAGTCTGTATTTTACCCTGTCTGGTGTATCTATACGGTTTGTGTGTGAACTTTAACATTAGAAGCTGGGATTTTTCTGCTGCACAATTGTAATGAAGATCACATTGGGCTTAGCACAGGATCTCCCAGCCCTTAATGGCATCAAGAGGTTAGCCAATGAAATCACTGGCTGCCAGTGCTTAGACTAAAGTCACACTAACTGCATATACAAAACCTCCAAACTGTTACTTACACACACAAACACGTAGTGTCTGAACAGTTGTTGGTATGGTGTTGCCTGGTCTGTGTGCTTTGGGAATTTATGGTAATTTGTTATTAGAGGGGGTCTCATCCTTATTGGGCAGAATCAGATACGATTTGCAATGTAGCAAGTCTCTCCCTTAAACTGTATTCAAATGTCAGATTTTTACACCATTAAAACTTGAAACAAGTTGTCTCTCTTCTGTCGTCATGCAAGAGGTAACTTATTCCCTCTCTTAAAACAGTGTAGTGAATAAAAGACGAATGCATTTGTTTTCAGTAGGGCTGCATAGTCTAGATCAATACAACAGTACTGTAAAAATGGAGCCCCTTGTCTGACTTCAAAATTGGAAGATATAACCTGGATAGCAATTGAAAATATATGTAACTAGTGACACAAAGCAGAATCTGAATGCCCCCTCCACCTACTGCTAGCCCTGGTGGGATTCTGACACTGAACCAGGGGCTGAATAAGTTCTTATCTTGTTTGCTGATTTGCTGTACGGGTAGACTTCAAAGTGAAATCCGTTTTCTGCACAACTCTCAGCTCTTGCTTTGTGTTTTTTTGTAAACCTAAATCTGCACATAGTGCATTTAAACAATTATCTGAATCACTTTGGTGAAGTGTAGGGATTAATGTTGCACTAATATTATGGAAATCACTGCCAGGAACAACCCATTTTAGTTTAATCTGGGGGTACTTGTGTGCAAACCCTCCATGCTTTAATTCTAGTTTGTAATTATGTTTTTCAGGGAAAAGCAGAATGTCCCTGCAGATCCTTAAAACATTTTAGCTTTAATCTCTCATGCCATATTTCATAGGTACAGTTGAAGCATTTTCATAGTTTGTGCTCTGAAAACAAATACAGATGGTTATCTGGTGCATATCTGCAGTAACTGCACTTTTCTATGGAGCTTTGGTTTGAAGGGATGAGCGGAGGTTCAGGTATGGTAAAAGTGAACTGCGCATTCTGCATGGGTAATGCACTTGATTACTGTTGCAGCTTTCTCAAATCACTTATTGCAGTAGGATTTCCATTGATTAGTTGCAGCTTGTACAGTTCCATAACAAATAGGGACGGTGGAGTTTGTGGGGGGGTTTGTTTTGAATATGTGGTTTGTATGTACATGATTCACTTTTTTTCTCATACCAACTGTGGAGAAAAAGCTCTTATAGAATGCTTAACTTGTCTTGGCATTTGGTTCAGCAACACACTACCAGCTTATAGCTCCATAAGCTAGTGCTGCTCCATCCAAAACACTTGTAAAATGTTCTGCTCGTGTACATACAGTATATAGGCCATGGAGTTAGAAAGTACCTTGCTTTTTAAAAAAATAACCCTGTATTTAAAAATGTAAAAAATAAAGGCAGGCACTAATATTTCTTCCAGTTTTCGATTTAGATTTTGTCCATACAAAAAAGTTTGACTTTTCTCTAAAAAAATATATAATATAATTGTTCTTGGGAGCGGTGTATGTCGCTATAAATGGCAGCATTTACTGTCGCGTGTTGGATGTCAGAGCTTTTCAGTTTCCGAACTTTTTTTATTGCCTCTGGCTGTTTAGTACAGTACAAGTGCGATTTAAAATACCTTGGAATAATATATTTAATCTTAATTAAAATACATTTATCTGTAACCCTGTTGGCTTTTTATTAACTTTACCACTGTAGATGGCTGTTCAAGTAGAACATGGTAATTTTTTTTAAATGCCTTTCCTTTTTATAAAGATTCACAGTATACAGCAACCTTTTCTCCCCTACTCTTCAGTTCTGCTATACTTATACACTGCCCTGCGCATGCTAATGGTTATCAATTAAAAACCACAAGGCTGTGTGGACAGTTTGCTTGAGGATGTGCATTGGAGAAGGTTAATGTCCCTCTGGGGTGGAGATTGTCTGCACATAATGAGTATTTTCATTACCCTGGGAGTGGCTAGGGTGTCCTGTGCTAGATACTGCACCAACCATTCCTGCCTTGAGGTGCTTAAAGTCGCTAGAGACATGGATCTAACAGAGTAAGCAATGTGATGGTGTCAAATAGCATGTTTGTGCCATAATTTTTTTTTAATGTTAAGTGGAAGTTAATTGAGTGGATTAGGCAAAGGAAGGGAGCATGAAGGGCTCGCAGAATGCGGTTAAGGTGAGGAGAAACTGCTTTGGGAGGAGGGTATAAAACAAAGCCAGTGTCTCTCCAGTTAAAACTTTTCCCTCCAAGTCCCTGCTCCAGCACCTACTGGGGGACTGTACCTGGTTTTTGCCAGTTTGTTTGAGCTCTGGCACTGAAGCCTTGCTGGAACTTCTCTTTCTGAAGTCAATGTGGGCTATGGGGAAGTAGCACTGCACACATCCTAGTGCCCATGGGAGGAATGTCACCCCTTCTGGGTGTGGAGACTAGTGGGGGAAGAGATGATTCCAGCTGGGCCTCTTTTCCCTTCCTCCCAAAGCTGCATTACCTGCTCAAGCTGTGTCTGCTCTTGCCAGCTCAAAGTTGATGTGCGGACCCTGGCTGAGAGCAAAACAGGAAGGATTTGTGAGTTCTAGTTGCTCCATTGGTTTT